ATGCAGTTACAAAATAACTATATAACCAGCTACAAAATGCCTTATTTTATGTAACAAGACGAGCAGAGCTTTACTAGCTCTGAACGAATCCAGTAAAGAACCTCGGATTTTCAAAACTTAAAAAAAAACAATCTCACCACATTTTCACATTTTTGAAATATAGAGCTTCTGCTATTTTTAAAAGTACAATTTTTTGTTTAAACAGCTATGTCTCATTTTAGGCTATTCTTAGGCTATTGAGTATTATAAAATAAAAAATTACGGGATGCTCTGTTAGCTTTATACGAATCCAGCAGAGCACTCCAGTTTTTTTTTAAACCACACCACGTTTTTTGGCTCCTAACATATAAAATATTCGAAATTTGACATTTTTAAAAAAATTCGCAATTCCTTGCTGACTTCAAAGTTTTTTTTCTGAAAACAAATATACTTAACACATTTTTAGGATTTTAAAACAGCCTAAACATGTGTCATAAGTAGTTGTTTTTATATATATATAAAAAAAAAAACAAATTAAAAAACTGAAGTGTCCTGCTGACTTTGTTCCAACAAAGCACCCTGTATTATTTAAAAATAGCAATTTTTTTAGTAAAGTTTTACAATATTTCAAGACTCTAAAAATGGGGTGTGGTTTTTAGAAAAAAGCTTTAAAAAACCGAATTGCTCTACTGGCTTCTTTCGAAGGTTAGCAAGCACCATGTATTTTTTTAAAATATCATTCTTTTTTAATGATATTTCAAGTGCATAAAAATAAGGTGTTGCTGTTTTTAAAGAAAAAAAACTTTATAAAATAGAGGTGCTCTGCTGACTTCGTTTGAAGCTATCAGAGCATTTTGAGTTTTGCAGAAAACGAGGAGCATAAAATTTTTGAAAAGGGTATAAAAATAGCCTAAAAATATGGCATATGTTTTAACTCAAAATTTCATAGGCAGCATTCTTTGGTATCATAATTATTACTAGGTTCTCTAACAAAATCTATTTCTAGATTATTTTAACACTTGCTGCGATTACAAAAAATGTCTCTTTATATGTCAAAATTAGAAAAAAATATTTATAGGAATAAAGGGCCTTATACACTATTTATTATATGTAATATAAAAACAAAAAAGCATAATAAATATTACAAACCTTGAGATGCAGCATATCCTAAGCATTGTGCACTAAAAATTTCTTTTTTTCTTAATTACAACAACCACATCATAAGGTTTTTGCCCTACTTTATGTTTAGGTGTAATTTGTCCTTTTACTGTGCAAATATCTCCTTCTCTCTTAAGTTGTACATGGAAAAAGTAATTATCTCCATATTTTTGCTTGGCAGATCTAAAAATAAAACATTATTTAATAAAGTGATTAATTTTTTAGTATTTTCAAGAGCCTTACTCTAAATATTTGGCCTAATTATTAGATATTCTTACTAATTTTTATTATTTTTCTGTATTCCAAATTATTTCATAAAACATAAACATAATAAAAGAGTGTATGAACCATTAGAAAAAGTACTTGCACCCTACCCTTCTAAATACATTTTTATATATTATTTAGTTTTAATTTTTGAGGTAAACATGATATATTATGTTTTACGATAAGCTGTATTGCTCCATATAAACTGTAACTACCTACTATTAAAACAAATTATAAATAAAGTCTTACCTTTCTGTCTTTTGTAAACTGAGTATTGTTAAAAAATGCAGTAATCATCTCGGTAATCATAATTTGGCTTACAATGGGTAAAATACTTGATTCAACTTTTATAAATCCAGCTGTAAAAACTAATGTTAGGTTAGGTGTTAGTCACTTAGAGGTGCGTTCACTTCGACATTCTGTGTGTCGGTTTGTTCGTTGGCTTGGTTTTGTATAACAAAAAAAACACAAGCTGATTGGTCTATTCCCGATGACGTATAATTTCAAATTTTAAATTTCAAGTGGGCTTAATTTAAAAACTTTTGGCTTTTTTAGAATAACTTTTATAACTATTACAATATAATTTATAAAACAGCATATCTCACATGTGAACATGGCCCATTCGAACAATTAAGTATTGCATTACTGCCTTGGGCGGAATATTCAAAACAACACTTAATATACTGCAAATATCCCATAATATAATACTAAAGATAATTTTTAAAAAAGATAGGCTTTATACTACTCAAGACTTGTATCAAGAAAGTAATCTTTTAAATATTAGGTGTAGTTATGTTTATCAATATCTTCTAAGAATGTTTGACCAACAAATAAAATGTCCTCAACATAATACAAAAGGAACACGTTCTAAAATGAATCTAAATATAACAACTGATTTAAAAAAAAACTGTGACTTAAGACAAATGATTTAATATACTTTCTAAACATGTAAAAGAAATAAAAAAATATAAGGTAAAAAACTAAAAATAAGATATATAATGAACTGCATTCTATATTATACCCTTCACACTTTAACAGACTCCCCCTTAACACCCATTTTCATTCAAATTTTTTTAGAATCAATAGGCTTTATTCCCTTATGAAGCTTCATTTTTTCAATTTGATATCGTTTTTTATTTTTAAGTTAGAATTTTTTTAATCAGATTTTTTTCAAAATCAATAGGCCTTTTCCCCTTATAGAACTTGATTTTTGATAAAAATTTCAAGTTGACATTATATTTAGTTTTTGAGTTAGGATTTTTTAATTATTTCAACCCCCTTAACCCTTATTCTTTATTCAGATTTTTTTCAGAGTTAATAGGCTTCAATCCCTTATGAAGCTGAATTTTTCATAAAGATTTCAATTTGATATCGTTCTTCGTTTTCGAGTTAGGATTTTTTTCCATATTTCTACCCCTCTTATCTTCCCAGTTTTTTTTTTCAGAATCAGTTGGCTTTATTCCCTTGATTTTTACTAAACATTTTATATTGATATCGCTATTGATGTTTGATTTCTATTTTTCAATATTTCAGCCCTCTTATCCCCCATTTTGATTTTTTCTAAAAAAATTCATATTGATATCGCTTTTCATTTTTGATTTAGAATGTTTTTACTTTCAACCTCCTTAAACCTCCACATTTTTAATTAATGTTTTTTTAATCAAAAGACTTCTTCCCTTTATAGAGGTTCATTTGTGCTAAAAATTTATTGCTGTTATCTCTTTTCGTTTTTAATTTACAATCATTTTTATTTCAACCCCCCCTTAACCCTCCATTTTTAAACAGATTATTTTTTAAATCAATAGGCTTTGTCCCCCTCCTTATAAAACTTGATTTTTGCTAAAAATTTCAAATTAATAGCGTTTTCCATTTACAATTAGAATTTTTTTAATATTTCAACCTTCCTTAACCTCCCATTTTTAGTCGGATTTTTTCAAATTCAATAGGCGTCGTCCCCTTATAGAGCTTGATTTTTCCTGAAATTTTCAAATTGATATCTTTTTTCGTTTTTGACTTATCGTGTGGACAAAAAACGTGACATCGACGGACGAACGAAACCGAATGCATAATACTCTTCACAGCCTACTGTGTGAAGAGAATAATTATGTACGTAACAGTGACGACTTAGAAAGGTATAGGTATAGGAAAGTATAATATACCTAAAGCAATGAAAGCTTTTTACCTACTTCTCTATACTGAGATCAATAATCTTTCATTGTGAACCCCCAATATTTTGGCTACAAGCCGCCACTGGTACCTAATCATCCTTATATACCTCTGATGTTCTCATGATAATTACAATTTTTATAATTTATTCAAGATAAATGAAACAATTGCAAATTGACTAATAACTCACTTTCTTCTCCTACCGTAGCTGCTATTATTATATCTCTGAAAAATTACTTGTAATGTGTAAAACATCTTTAAATTCTATAAACAGGGTGCCTCAAAAAATTGGTTTTCACAGGACAAGCATTTGGCCATTTCATGAGACGCTAACTAATCGTATATAAATTATGAAATTATTAGCTCACCAGTTATATAAGAGAAAATACAGTTTCAAATACTGTTACAATTTTTCCTCCTAAAAGTTGAGAATTTTATTTTAGATTTGACTTACCTTATATACATTTGCTTTAAAAAAAGCATATCCGCTCTAAAATTACATTCATATCGAAAATCACCTGCAGCAAAAAATTTGATTATCAGTTGTTATATGATTTTCATACAAAATTGGTTACATCTTGTGCCCCCTATAACTTACTCCATATTACTCGAAACTGTTATAATGAGAAAAGTGAGGGCAATTCAAAATTAAAATAAAATAAAATAATCCGATTTGAACAACATAACTTTGACCTATACCTAAGTTATGGAATACCCTGTATATTCTTAAATTATTTTAAAACAAATAAATCAGTCAACATATCGTTATTGTTGGTTTATCATAATTTTATTCTTTACAAACAGGGCATTCACAAAAATTTCCAAGCTGTACCGTACCCTAAATCTTTGGAATTTTGTTTTTGAACAACCCGTATCAAAATTTTACATAATTTGGTAAAAAACCCTGAAAGGTATGTAAAACGTTTTTATAATTTCCTTTTAATCTTTATCATTATGCATGGTTTGTTTTTGTGAACTGCAGCTTTCTAAATTATTAACAAAACATTATAAATTATTAATAAAATAAAAAAGGCTTAATACCGAATTCTGCTTGAGTTACCAGCTTGGCGATCATTGTGAAACACCCTGTATATTTACAGATCAGTTCTATTTATATATTTGTTTTTATTTATCAAAATTATATAAATTTTCTTCAACAATTTTTTAAGTTTTAACTGTTTCAAGAAAATTGTTTATTATAAAAATATCAGAAGTTGTAAAAATTATTTAAACCAGCGTCAAAATCCCCTGTATATTTTTACTGGCGTCCACGGTACATATTATTAAAGTCATAATTATCCAGAACAACTTTTAAAATACTGCTCCAACACTGCTCTCTATCTAGAAAATAATACTCTAACATTTTCAAAGACAATTTTTGATAGATCTAACAGCAACCAGACACGCTTCTAACAAACCTTCATTTGTTTCAGGAAGACGATTCGGGCAGTGCAAGCAGTAGTGAAGAAATGGAAACAACAGTCGATGATACCATAGATTACCAAGATGCCCAGCAACCTTCAGCTGAAGACCCATTAGCTGTTCCACTAACAAAAACAACCTCCCAAAACCTTAATCACATTGCAACCAAACCTACATCAAGTGATACGAACAAACTTGAACAAAAGACAACTCCAAACGAACAAAATCAGACTTTTAGATCAACGAATCCTTTAATAATTCCTAGTATAAATATTGCTAATAATGCTCAAAATATTACTAGTAATACCAACACCATAGCGTCTTTAGATACCACAATTGCAAATTCAGCTGTAGGTGCTATTACAACACCGGCGCAACTAGGAACTAGTATAGCACCATCGCAACTAGGAACTGTATCGTCAGCGCAACTAGGTGCTGGTACATCCCCATCGCAATTAGGGACGAGTATAACGCCAGCACAGCTAGGTGCTACTTTGACAACTGTATCAAATAATGGACTGCAAGCTCTGCCTCTAGTGCTGCACACGCCTACTGGTAGCGGGTATGCTTCAACTCCTGATGGTATGATACTTGGGTTGCTGCAAGGTCCTAATATGGCACAGCCTCAGATAGTAGCCATCCCTATGTCTAGCGTTGCTAGTATTAGTGGTGTTAATGTTAGAACTGTCGGGAAAGACGATGAAGGAAAAAGTTGAGAATGCTTATGGGGATTTTGGGAATTGTTTTTGTTCTGTTTTTTGGGGTAAAATAATGTAATACGAGGAGCACTGCTAACGTTCGCGAAAAATATAAAACCAAAAATGGAACCCTTTGTAATATCCCCTAGTTTGTTTCAATAGTGTGGCTTTAATGAGAGTTTTCCTAACACCGAGATGTCCTCCTGATGGACTGGCGTATAATTGACGAAGTACTTCAGCTACTTCAATTTTGTGTTTTACAAAAGTTCTTCCTGTTTTTTCTCCTTTTGGTACAAAGATGTCACGATATCGTCGAAGAAATTCGTTTATTTTTTTTTTCTAATTGATTCAGAGATTGACCAGCAACTTGCAATCATTTGCTCAAATTTGTTACTGGAATTATCGGAAGTTGTTGTCTGACGAATTATGGAAGTTACTGGTACACACGTTCCGATTCTGGTCTCTTTCTTGATAGTAATTGGGTGATCATTAACGAACTTTAGCAGTCTTAACCAACCCCTTTCCAATCAGAATTCCTCGTCCAACCTCTTCATCGTTTGTTCCAAGGTTCCATCATTACAGGTGTTCCTTCTTCCATAGTTTCTTAAAGCCTTGTTACTATAACGGTTTCTCTTCTGCCAGGTACCACCGTATCCTCCTGTACAGAAACTGGCACGGTACTGACCCCATATGGATGTACGAATACCTCTTCGGCACCAACTTTGATCACTTTGTTCTTAAAGTCTAACTGGAAACCATGTAAGTTCATTACATCCATTCCAAGTATAACTTCTTTGATATCAGCGACAATACTAATATGAGTGAACTTTTCTGTACCGATTCCCATTGTTGGCACTTTCACCTGTGGCAGTCTTCAGTCGCAATCTTGTTGGTAGAAGTTTCTTACAGTTATTTATGATTGTTGATCGTATAATAGTCCTAGTTGCTCCAGTATCCACCAACACTGTATACTTTTTACCATTTACTTCGCCGTCTACGTATACACTATCATCGCGACATTTCAAAGAGGCTATCGGCTATCAGTATGAGAGGGTCTTTGGAACGGTTTCGGGTCGAAGATGCCCCCTCTAGGCCGACCCGCTTTAGTTTTCCTGCTGTATGTTGTCTTGATTCGTTGTTACCCTAGGGCGTTTGCCCGAACTGCGTACATGTCACAGTTCACCGCAATTCCAGCACCTTATGGTCTTTCTCTTTACTGTATCCACCAGAAGCCTGCGTAGTTGCCTCATATTCTAAAGCAGCGGACAAGACATCGACCAATGTTTTGTGGCGAGCTAAGCGAAGTGTTTTCTGCATCTCGTGGTCACGGAGTCCATCAATAAATGTTTGTACTGCCAAAGATTCCATCATATTTTCCGGAGCTGATGGGTAAGCAAATCGCACCAAACTGGCAATATCTACTTCATATTCCTGAAGAGTCTCATATCGTTTCTGTTTGTGATTCTTTAATAAACCCAACAAATTGAATCAGTACTTCTAGATCACTTTTAAAGCACAACTATTTTTATTATATAGTATAACTTGGTAAAACGTTTTCGCCATTTTAAATTTTCAAGGTTTAAAACAAAAATTATAATTAGCAACCTTATAAACACCCCAAATTTTAAGTTTAAAACAAATTGATTCATTTTAAATCCGCCACTTTGAAAATCAAACACAGGACTCACGAGAGATTGTGGGCTCCCAACCAAAATGCTGGTATCATTATAATCTTCCGGCAAACTTTTAAACACCTGAAGATTCTTAAATAAAACAAAGTACTGTTACGTATAAATGAAATATCCTCTTAGGAGGGACAACCAATGTGAAGGCTTGGCTGGAATGAGGTTTCTAACATTGGGCGAAGAAAAGCCAATTGCATGCAACTACATGCGGGAGCCACTGTCAAAGCTACTAAGTCTAATAAAAAAGATCAGGCTGGACGACATACTCTAAAACAAACGGAGTCCCACAATAGATCTGAAAAGGTCGCGGTGGACAAAGGAAAAATAACGTCCAACTCCTAATCTAATCTAATCTAAATCTAATCTAGGAGGGACAATAATAATACTTAGAATACGGCCAAAACAGCTCTTTTTATAACACAGTTTAAAAAATCACCAAACAATATAAGAAGTGAATAATGGGACTTTTCCTTTAAAAAAAGTTGTCATAGTCATGATTACAAAAAAACAACGTTTATTCAAGGCTTTTAATAGTGGTGTTAATCACTAAAGAAAGTTATGATTATAATAAGACAAAAACCAGAACAAAGCACTGTTTATTACCTACTTGAATGAACGGACCATTTGTGAAAAGAATTTAAATACTGTGACCTAACAGGTATATTTTGCTGGACTAATATTATGGTAAATTATTTATGGAGTGACATAATATTGTGAAATGATATATTTTTTATAATTACTGAAAATAGCTACTGAAAAATAAAAAAGTTTAAACTTACTGTTTTGTACCAAGTCGTCACCTTCCCTTGGTTGAACTACCGCCGCCGCCGCCTTTAAGTTGGCAAAAATTTTCGCAGTTCTAGAGCTCATTTTAGCATATCCCTCTCATCACAAAATCGACAGAAGCCTAAGTAAATAATCCGTGAAACAGAGAATTTCCTGTTCTAACGTGTCGGACTGTTTTGATGGAGATAGTATCTTGAGTTTTGACGTGCGATGGAGATAGTCCACCTTTAATGGAGATAGTACAGCAGCCCAAAAATACCACCTCCGTTTGATATAGTTTACCTCTCAATGACTTTGTGACTTAGTACAGTTTACCTTTGGTTTTTTCGTACTTTGTCTGGATTTGACTAAGAATCCGATTTTCGTAAAGACTGGAGATAGTACGGTTTACTTCTGGGGTACAGTTATATTATCAGGCTTTTTCTGTCATGATACTCTCACAATAATCAACTACACTCTCACCTTTCACCCCACGACTGCAGCGACCTCTGGCAGGCGTGGTTAATTTTACTCGACATATAGTTTCAGTTAGTGCTATAGAAGTTACATATACTTGACGTACGGGGGCAGCGCGATCTATCGCTGTTTATAATGGTGAGCCATTTGAAGTCGCTATAACTTTTGTTGAATCGAAACGGCTTGGTTTAAAATCGAGCTGTTGACTGAATTATATTTTAAAAACTTAAAACTTTACGCAGTTCACAATAATTGCAAGTAGTACCCTATTTCCCGACCTGTAGCAATGCTCCTCGTAAGTATCTATAGTGATATTGTATGTATATTTATGTAGCTGTACATGTATGTACTTAATATTTCCAATGTAATGATATTGATGTTGGTTGTATATAGGATGTTGCTTAGTTATGCAAATTGTTTTGGTTGCGAAATATTTTCGAAATTCCTTTTTCGTTACTAAGAGTCCTAATTTTTTTTTATTTGTCTAACATATTTAAAAATCTTATATATTTATGGGTAAGTAAAAATTTATCCATAAACATTTGATATAAATGAACTATTTTTTGTAACGCAAAAAATTATTAATTTGTTAGTAATATGGTTTTAACAGAAAAAAATTAATATTGTGGTATTGTAATAAAATTGTGATATGTAATGTTTAATATTTGTTATTTTTTCGGATATAGACCAAATGTTTATTTAATATTTCTTAACTTTCTCTTTATTTAATTTTGTTTCTTGTGTACATACGCTCTCTTATACCATAATTTTTTTACAGGGTGTCACGTTATATTTTGACAATTTTTAAACCTACGAGCATATAACTTTTAAACTAGTTTAGATAATGAAATGCTGTTTTCACTAGTCTTTTAATTTTTATAAGGTTTTGTTTTTAGAGTCATCAGTCATTTTTGACTGATTTTTAATTTAACCGGTTCAATAAAAATTGGAAGAAGACTAGTCAAAACCGCATTTAATAATTTAAACTAGTTTAGAAGTTATATATTACAGCGACGAAAAACTACTGGACTAATCCATTCATTCATAAATAAGCCCTTATTTATTGAAAATATTCAAATTAGTTGTTAAATTGAGTGGGGATGGTTTGTGCGAACTTTTTACCAGACTTTAAAATAAATAGTGTACTTTCATGTAATTCGCCTTCAGCTACAAGAAAGATTGCAACCAGAAAAATATATTAAACAGGTAATAACTGGCATTAAAAATAAAAAGATAGTTCTTTCTTGCGTTTTAGAGCCTTGTTAAGTTATTTCGAATTATAACCATAAACAATACCATACTCTCCCATATTAAGGTGGCAACTACGGATAACACCGTGAATGTTTGCAAATCGGTTTTTGTAAACAAAATTAGTGTACTAGTTGTTCGTCGTTGATCTATCATAAAAACGTGATGTATGATATATATTTATTTTTAATGATCTTTATTAGTTTTTTTTATAAAGACAATATTTTTTATGACTATTAGTACTTAATCCTTTAGAATGTAAAAGAAGTGTGCCTTCCTATTTCTATACTAAACTATTGACGCGTTTATTTTATGTAATAAAAAATTAATAAAAAGTTTCAAGATATTTTATTTCTCCTATGCCCTAGATAAACTACAGTATAACAAATCAGCTTATCTTTGGTCAAATATTACTTGGTTTTAAGTAACACAATGCTAAAAATGAGAAAAATTAATTTAAAATATTATAACCTACCGCACCCAGGTACCTTCATAATTTATTAATTCCATTTATTAAAGAAAATATTGAATTCTTATTAAATTCTAAATCCATTATTTAACGAAAAATCTACTAGATAATTAAATCTTATTTACAACACCTAATACATAATGTCTATAACCATGTCCGTAAGAGATCCAATTATCTTGCACGTGTCTGGGAACCCAACCCGAAACCATCATACAACATAATCATTGAAACAGTTAAAACACTTATCTTAACTCAGTTTTAAATAGTAAATTGTTTTCGATACACAAATTTTCCAAGACAAGTAATAAATCGATCAGTCCTTTTCTATCCACCCTAATTCGGTCCCTCCGGATTTACGACAAGTTGACGTCGCA